ATGCTCTCTTCACCTGTCAGTGCTTCCTATGGTTTTTAACTGATAGTATAGTACAGCGACACTTTAAAACGGTCAAGCAATTTGCTGATCACATTCTTGATGAAGTCGCTCACCCTCTCCACTCTGAACCAATGGCTGCGAAGCCTTCCCGTACAATGCACCGAGGCTGCCGTCATGTCTTCCCGTACATCGGCATATCAGCACTCTGTACTCCCATTCCAAGCACGCTACCTCACGTGTGAAGAAACGTAAATTGAGAAGTTGAAAGCTGACCTGTCTCTATAACAGATGTGGATATCGTGTAAATCCAGCTTTGAGTATTCTATGACCTTTTACCTTATTTTATTCCTTTGCTCTCCGTGAATGAAGCCATTTTTGCTGAAAACTTTGGATATCACCTTAAAAATAAAGCATTTTTCTTTCTCACTCTCTCAAAAAAGGAGGGACGATAGCAACTGCGGGTAGATTGATACAGTCTGTTTCGGACTTCTGCCCTCATTCAGCTCACCAGAACCCTGACTACCGGCTAAGGCTGGAAACGCAAAGATGCGCTCGAGTACGGCGCAGATAGTCCGCAAAACGGGGGCCATAAGCACTTTATCGACACAGACTGTAGCAGTCGACCCGCATTTTGCTGTCGTCCCTCCTCTCTCCCTGCAATTACGACTTGGGCGACTTTAGCCCGGCAGTTTGTTGATTGTTCGTATCTGACACCCCATATAGAGCGTGCTTATTTCAGAAAGCCAATGCATCGGTGTGCGCCTATTTCTGTTTGAGTAAATACCTGATCTGCAACGACAGAGGATGATAGGAAGCGGGGCACTGCTGAACTTGAAGTGCTTATTACCCACCTGCTAGATCTGCTTTACACATTAGGCTCCTCCACATCCGCTGCGATGGACCATGTACCTCGCCTGAACTGGAACGACCGGCAACGAGGGTAAATTGCGACGTGGGGCGGTCTCCAGATACGACGAAATACCAGTAGCTCGCCATAAGGCGGTAATACCCCCCCCTCCCTAGCGAATTCTGTACGACAAATTTGAACTTTAAAT